CACACACACACACACACACACACACACACACACACACACACACACACACACACACACACACACACACACACACACACACACACACACACACACACACACACATATATATGTATATTTATAAATATAGATTATATCCGACTTCGTTCTATAGGTTGTGAACCTTTTACATACAGTACCACCCTTCCATCCGTCGGTATTCTCCATCACCTTATGCTGAATACGGCTTGATACCTTGCAATGACTATTAATATAGCCATCGGCATAATCTCACATGTTTCGCTTCATTCGGACTATAGCCAGTGTACCCCCTCTGCATACATTGTGATTCTTCTATGGGTGGGGCACAGACACCTGAGCTCAAGCTGAAACTAGCAAACCTCCTCACTCTTCCCTTTTTTTTTTTTTGAGTGAGAGATTCATTGATATTTTTTATCACCATATGCGCAGCACTCCTTTGTTCGTTTCAGTCACATACTACTACTTTCAGCATAGACGTTTGTACGTCACTTTTTTGAGTACCTGTCCTATTGTGCTACGGCACCCCGAGATATGCTCTCTTTCGATAGGGGGTTGGACTTTCCGGACCAGAAAACATCTGCTTGATAGTCTGTGTATATCCCTCACCTGAGTTCATAGTGTTTAGGTGTATCGTTATTTGTCATGTATTATGTCTTTCCACATATAATCCACCCACATCTCCCACAAATTTCTCACACAGTATGGCCAAATTGCGTAGCGTTTGCGGATTTGGTCTTACCCCAAAATATTTCGGAGATAGCTCACCCCAATTCCCGCCCGTCTATCAACCCAATTTAACTATGTTCTCTCCGGATATACATCCAAATCGCCCAAAGTTTGCAGAGTTTGGCCGGGTTTAGAAGCATTTCCGGGTGTTTGGTTGTTGTGAGTGACTGGTATTATTCTACACCTTTTGCCGCCTCTACCTAAACCGCCCAATAATTTTCGCAGAGTTTGGCCTGGCTTGGTAGCATTTCCCGATTTCTTCCACCCGAAAACGTCTGCTTGGTGGGCCGCAGATATCGCGCGCTTTTTAGGACCGGATGAAGACGACTCCGTGCACGTAGATGGGCTGTGGATTGACATGAACGAACTCTCTAACTTCTGCAACGGTGCATGCAACGAGTATGTAGTGTAATACGCACACACAAACACACATATACACAAATACAGACACACTATATATA